CCCCTCCCTCTCCCCCCCCGACCCCCCGGGGCCATCAGTCACACGTGTGCACGTTTGTCAGATATATGGATACAGACGAGAGTGGATTCAACAGCAAGCATCAGCTCTTTTTTAAATAAAATAAATCAATAATTTGTGTTTCGACAGGCTGTTAATAATACAGTGAGGCCACTTACACTCGTGATTTAACAGCGCCTCCATTAGCATAGAGCCACCCAGGCAGTGTATTATAACATTCTGTTAGAAAAGCCCATAAAACAACCCAAACCCAGTCGCCTTCAACATATGGCTCACGGGTCAGCTTAGGTTCAGAATCTGAAATAAATTGGCCACGGAACGTCTTCCGTTCATCAGCAAAATAAATATAACAATATAAAACAAACTTCTATTATTATTCAATTAAAAAAAAAAACAATTATTCTACAAAGGATTTTAATTTCAGATTCAAATTTACACCAATTCCCTCTGTGAGCCGCAGCAGCAACTATGATGCAGTAATATACAACAAGCTCTGGTCAATGCAGCTTCATTAGTACATTGATTTTTTAATTTTTTTTTTACGACTCGCTAAATGTTTGACATAAATAGCAGCGATTAATGCGTTTGTTTATTTTATTTTTTTTACTGCACCAGCATATATAAGTGGAAACGAGGCGTCTCAAAGAGGTTGGAACATTTAGGAGCTCCATCTTTGTATCTGCACTGCACTACATCACCGTGCTCTCCACTGAGCTCCGGCGCTGGAGCAGCAAAGTCAGTGGATCATCCTCAGCAGCATATGCTACTGTATGGCTGAGGGGAGCCACGCTGTGCACACTTGCCCAGCAACATGCTTACATCACAGAGCACGTGCTGGGCGGGATTCGGTGTGTGCCAGTGTTTACAGCGGCGTGATTACGCGCCTGTCTTGAGGCATGTACGCTGCTCCACAGTTTACTCCACGTCTGATGGAGGCTGTGGAGGAGGAACCGGGGCAGGACGAGGATCTGCAGAGATTCAAGTCACCTCTTCGTGGAGGCATGTAAAAAAAAAAAAATTTTTTTTAGTGCAAAGGCACCTTTCAAAAAAAATCTATCTATACTGTATGTCAGCACTGCTGCTGCTGCTGCTGCTGCAGCTACAGTGGAAGTGTTATGCAGCTCTGGAAGGAGGGGAACAGGAAGGAGGAGGAGGAGGGCAGAAAAAAAAAACTGTACGCAGTGCAGACTTAGTTTTACATGCAATACCAAAGGGCCCCAGTGACAAGGGGGGGCAAGAGCAGTGAGGGGGGGGGGAAACATACTCACCCACTGTCAGTGGCAAGAGAATCACCCAAAGGCTGAGCGTCACCTAGGATACCAATGCCGGCTTCTATTCTCCTTTGGTTTCTTTCCACGCCGTCGTTGTCAATGGGGGGGTAGGCCTTCACCAGCGCCTGTCGATTACCATAGATGCCTGTGATGGCCGCCCCCCTGTCTGCCTCGTACCCGTTGAGCGTCCCCCGGCCGGCGCGGTTGTCCACGAGTTCGCGCTGGCAGTCAGCGGGGCGCTTGTTGTCGTAAGGCGTGGCAGAAGGAGGAGGAGGCGCACTCTTGGGCAGTTTGTATCCATGCGAGATGAGGAGGTCCTCCACGCTGTACATGGTGGTGTCTCTCTCTCTCTCTCTCACTCTCTCTCACTCTCACTTCTGGCCAGGAGGGCAAAGGTGGGTGTGATGCCTTATGCGCAGTGCTGCTGCTGCTGCTGCTGCTGCTGGAAGCGGGAGCACAACTGCTCAGCAGAGGCCATCACTGAGGGGAGGACAGGGGAGGACAGGGGAGCAAGTGAACAGATGAACATGACAAAAATCGAGCAGTTCCTCGTTTTTTTTTTAGAGTAATACAACTGCAATACAACTTTGTGAACACTAGGACAAACATTTTTTTTTTTTTATCGGAACACTTTAATCAGACATATTTGTGTCTTGGAAACAACATGTACAGATGTTGATATGTATTTAATATACGCCTTACTAAACTAATATTTCAATATAATTTTTTTTTTAATTTAACTTCAAATTTCAAGTCAACTAGTTTTTGAGCCCACGTCAACCAATTCAAAAGAGAAAACTTCACAGATTCACAGATTAGTTCCCCTCCAGTAGAAGAAGACATTAACAACATGTTGTTTCTGTCATGTCGTCGGCTCATCAGTCTCTCTGGGCGAAGAACAAAACATTTGAAATTTCACGTGCGTAACTTTCCTCAACATTTGACTTCATCGTAGTTTTACACTAAACGTCTTCATCTTATCTGTCATTCGTGGATTTATATTTTAAAAATTGGACACAGTGTTCTGTTAAAGAAGACCCCACCCCACCCCTCTACACCCCCCACCCCGCAGACCTACTTCTGGTCTACTTCACTCTTGGCTTCACTCTTACATTACAGATAGCGTGTCATTAGCCACACCCTGGTTTCCAACAAAGCCGTTTCAACACCTCTAAAAACAGTGACACCTTTTTGTTCTCTGTGTAAACACAGGGTTCATTTCTCCCTGGGTCGTTTGTCATCTGTCAATATATTCACTTCTGTGGATCTCTGGAGACTGGGAACACTCGGTGGACAACGCCCCGATGTATTCAGATGTATGTGCCGTGTGACTTTATATATATATATTTGATATGTTAATGAAAAACGGCGCCCATTTGAGCAGAAACTCCAAGGATTCTCCTTGACATTATGCAGTAAAAGGCGTCTCAATAATCCCACCGGACTACGGGCCTATCAGAGTGCATCACAGATTGTCCTACTAACTAAGTAGGACTGCAAACATTTTGTCTACTCCCGCGGGAAATTAAATATTCAATATAAATCACTACATATAATGGGTGCTGTCCTTTGTCCCAGTGCTGTGTCAGCATGCGTGGCTGGAGTTTGGTCAGTTGCCAGCGGTTCCTTGTGTCGTTATGGCATCAAGAAAAATACGGTGCATTTATTACAGGCAGTTAAAGTGATTGAGCTGCAGGTTGGTTGTAATGCAGTTATGAGTTACAACAAAAGAAAAAAAATCTAGACGTCGTGCACAACGTGTAAGTCCAGTTTGATGAAATGACAAAAACAAACTCCTTACGGTGAGGTGGGGGTTTCACGGACGATTTCTTTTTTAGTCCAGGATCACCGTTTTTAACCGATCTGTCATTTAACGGCTGCAAAAATCAAAACCATCCAAAATTCATATTCGACCTCCTCTTTTACTAAGTACTTCCTTTTTTTGCCAGACCAACATAAAATATCAATCTCACAAAACAAACAGCTCCAAAAATACAACTTCCCTGAAGGAGTCAATAACCAAAGTGGTGAAACTGACCCCTCCCTGCCACTGGGGGGTGTCCACACTTTTTTGGCGTGGGAGCTACTATTCAAAGTGATCTACCTCCATTGAAAATTTAAATTAAAAACTTTTTTTTTTGCCCCACAAAAAATTTAAATTAAAAACTTTTTTTTTTTGCCCCACAATCACTGAGGAGTCCATGATGTAAAATCTTTGGTTAACCAGACAATGTTTTATATTTTTTTCTGATACGATGTTTTTCAGCCATTTTAAATTCCCATAAATACAAAAAAACTAAGTCGCAGAATTCCAACATTGTGGAAAAGTGTAACCATTTAGAGAACATCAACAACAGTGCAGAGCGGTGACCTTAAAGAGTGTGATATATTAATAAGTGGCTCTAACAGTCTGTCCTGCAGCATCGTTACAGAAGCTGCTGGATAATAAATCCATTAGAGCGCCATCATAGCCTCTACACACATTAGCATTTAGGCTAATCATATTTGGACTGATGATTGGTGTCCCTCCGTTCGTACTCCATAACGAAGGTGTCGCTTGAAGTAGCAGCTTAAATCAAAGCAGTACACATGACAGTTGACTCCCCCGAAACGCTGTTCACTACAGCGGGAAGACGACTGTGTTTATAAATCGTTTTACGATACTCTATAGATGTCCTACAGCGCCCTCTGGATTTTTTTTTTATCACCAATTAACGGTGAAAATATTCCTGGCGGTTCCTTAGCGTTCGACTGTGTTTATAAATCGTTTCACGATACTGTATAGATGTCCTACAGCGCCCCCTGGATTTTTTTTTATCACCACTTAACGGTGAAAATATTCCTGGCGGTTCCTTAGCGTTGTGTGTTTAAAAAATAGTTTAAAAAAAAAACAACTTTAAAAATATATTCTCGGGTTTTTTTGGTTGCTCCGTATCGTGATACATATCGTATCGCCAGATTCTGGCCAATGCACGGCCCTGCTGACGTCACACCGTAGTGTTGGACCATTGGTGCCTTTTTATAATACATTCATATTATTGATAATAATTGATAAATTGCACAAAAAAATTAATTTGTCTGAATTCATTAGAGTTATAATTATCATATTTAGTTTATTTCCTTTACTACTGTTCATGAATTCAAATTATTGTGTGTCATCAGATGATAGTAGTCAGTATGAATTATTAAAGTGTTGCTACTTATTATTCTTTAAATGAAGTAACAGGATTACGTGGCTTATCACTAAACCAATCAAGAGATTTTTGTTCTCCTTGATTTTGTTTTTGTCTTGAATAATTACATTTGTATTTTAATTAAAATTTCAAAGGCTAACATTCAAAACACTAAATAACTCCACCTTTACTACTGTTCATGAATTCAAATTATTGTGTGTCATCAGATGATAGTAGTCAGTATGAATTATTAGTGTTGCGACTTATTATTCTTTAAATGAAGTAACAGGATTACGTGGCTTATCACTAAACCAATCAAGAGATTTTTGTTCTCCTTGATTTTGTTTTTGTCTTGAATAATTACATTTGTATTTTAATTAAAATTTCAAAGGCTAACATTCAAAACACTAAATAACTCCATATTTATTTAGTAATTCTTCAGTGCGGAGAAAAAAATTAATTTTCTGACCTTTGAGTGACCTTAATGTTTTAAATCCTTAACTCATCTGTGCAAGTTGTGAGTTTTTAAAATTCATCCAAATTCATTCATTAGTTAAAATATTATTGTTATATATTGTTATTGTGACATGTTTGTTGTGCTGTTGTCATATCACATGTTTGTCCTACTTAAATAATTTTTTTATTGTTCTATTCTTTTTTTTCATGATTTAAAAAAAGAGAAAAATTATTTAATTATGTTTTGTTTATAAATGTTAAAAACACGTCATTAAAGACCAGTATTTTTTTAAAAATTCTCCTGAAACCATTACCACCATTTTGGTGTAAATAAAGCTCAGAATTCAGCATCATGACCTTGAAAGGTTTTAAATTGCCCTTGACTTTCAGGTGACCTATTAAAAACCTCTAACATTTAACACACACGAAAGTTCACTTCTTCAACCACAAGACGTTCATATCACGTCTATTATTGAAGCAACATTTTTTTTTCAATTTAAAAATCATCATCCTCCAAAATTATTTTATACCCGTTTCATAAAAGCCCCCGTTGTGCTGTGTTAAATACCCCTGCCTCCGTGTGTGTGTGTGTGTGTGTGAGGTTCAAATGCTACGGAGGAAAATTCCAAATCAAAACACAAAGATTCACATCCAGCCGTGTTTTAAAGGAAAAAGCTTCTTTGAACAAAGCC